TCCCTCCGGCCCCTTCCCTCCTGCCTCCCTCGCCCGCCTGCCCCGGAGCTTTGGAGATTAACCTATGGAGAACGGGCACTGCGCAGCGCTGCGTGTCACCGGGAGCCCTCAGTGGTGGAACTTCTTGCCAGGGCTGTTGGCATGGTCCAGCAGCAGCTGGCACGGCGTGAACTGGACACCGTACACGGCCTCGTACTTGCGCAGCTTATCCACCAGCTGCTTCGCGCCGAAGGAGTCTGCGAACCTGAAAGGGCCTGTGGGGACAGGGACACAGCTGGGACAAGGGACAAGCACCAGGGCTGACAGCACTGATCTGGCTGATCCATGCTCCTCCACAGCAGACCCTCAGGGTCTTGTCAGGGCACCCCAGGAGCCTCCTCCCTGCCCACCCGCGCTGGGGACGAGCTGGACATGGATGTTGCAGAGTCTCAAAGTGCTTTCAGAGCATTGGAGGGTTTGGATTCCTGATGCTGCTAACCTCCCCAACCCGCAGCTGGGATCAAAAATCAGCCATGGAAGTTGTTGTGATCTTGTGGATTTGAACAGCACTCCCAGGGATGGAGCAGCCACAGAATGGTTTGGGTTGGAAAAGTCCTGTAAGATTGAGACCAACCATTCCCCAGCACTGTCAAGGCCACCACTCACACAAAGTGCCACATCCACGTGCCTGTTCGGTCCCTCAGGGATGGAGATTCTCCCCCTGCCCTGGGCAGCTGTGCCAGAGCTGGACAGCCCTTTCCAAGATGGAATTGTTTCCAATATCCAACCTGAGCCTCCCCTGGTGCAGCCTGGGGCCATTTCCTCATGCTGCAGCTCAAACCTGGCCTCAACACCTGCCTTGCCTCACAGCTACAATGCCCTGAGCTTCCAAGGCAATCCACGGAGCCCATCCCAGAGCACTCACCTCCCAGGCACGGGGGGAAGCCCAGGCCGAACACAGCACCAATATCCCCCTCCACGGGGTTGCTGAGGATCCCCTCCTGCAGGCACATGGCTGCCTCGTTCACAAACCTCGACACCAAGCGCATCTGGATGTCCTCCTCGGTGCAGCTGCAGGGAGAGAGCTCGTGAGGGCTGGGCAGGGGGGACAGAGCCAGGCCAGGGGGGAATGGTCTCCCTGGGAGTGTCCCTATGCTCAGGAGCACCAGGACTGTGTTCTGTGACATGATCTAAACCAGGCACACAGGAACCATAGAATGGCTGAGTTTGGAAGGGACTACTGGAGGCCAACCCCTCTGCCCAAGCAGGGTCCCCTAGAGCACACTGCTCAGGTTTGTGTCCACATGGCTCTGGAATAAAGGCAAAGGCTGGATCAGCCTCTGTGTTCAGCAGTGACATACAATCCCAGACTGGTTTGGGTTAGGAGGGACCTCAAGGCTCATCCCATCCCACCTCCTGCCCTGGGCAGGGACACCTCCCACCAGCCCAGGTTGCTCCAAGCCCCATCCAACCTGGCCTGGAACACTCCCAGGGATGGAGCAGCCACAGCTGCTCTGGGCAACATGTGCCAGTGCCTCAGCACATCACAGCCAGGAATTCCTGCCAAATATCCATCTGTCCCTGCCCTGTGGCAGTGGGAAGCCATTCCCTGTGTCCTGTCCCTCCATCCCTTGTCCCAAGTCACTCTCATCTCTCCTGGAGCCCCTTTAGACACTGGAAGTGGCTCTGAGGTCTCCCTGGAGCTTCTCCTCTCCAGGTGAACACCCCCAGCTCTCCCAGCCTGGCTCCAGGGCAGAGCTGCTGCAGCCCTCGGAGCATTGTGCCCTCAGTGCCACCTCATGCACCTCGTGCAGCTGAGGGGCAGCAGAGCTGGGCAGTACCAGCCATCCCCTGGCAGTACCAGGTACTCACACGTCAGGGTTCGCCGGCACCTTAAACTGCGCCAGGATCTCCTCCATGCCAGAGTTCACACTCCTGTTCTTCACTCCCTCCTGGTAAACATAAAAGCCTTTCCCTGCCTTGCGACCTGCCGGGGATAAAAGGAGGCAGTCACACCCTGCCGTGTGTCCTGTTTGCTTCTGATCTCCCTGTGAGTGAGCAGACCCTCCAGCACTCTGTGCTCCCGAGCATGGGGCTGCTGCCTCAGCACGGACACCTCCCCCAGCCCCTGGCAAGGGGACCTGGCAAGGACACCTCCCCGAGCCACCGGGCCAGGCCCTCATGCCTTCCCCAGGTCCAGAGGACAAGCACCACCACCATTTCTGGGGGAGGGATCCTGGCCACTCATAGCATGTTAAGGGGTTGGAATGGAGCTTAGAGCTGACCCAGCCCCAAGCCCTGCCCTGGGCAGGGACACCTCCCACCAGAGCAGGTTGCTCAAGGCTCATCCAACCTGGCTGTGAACACTGCCAGGGTTGGGGCAGCCACAGCCTCCCTGGGCAGCCTGTGGAGGAGGTTCATTCCCAGGGCTGAGGCAGGAGAGGCTGATGGGTGCTGGTGCTTCTCCTGGCGCAAAAGGGAAGCCCTTGGGATGAAATCAGCTTAGCACCTCACCTAGGAAGCCTTTCTGCACCATGAGCTTGAAGAGCTCGATGCTGCCCCCGCCGAAGCGCTCGCCGAAGGCCTTGCCGAGATCCTCGGCCACGTGTGTGGCCACGTCCACGCCTCCCACCGGGAACCCAAAGCCTGTGGAGATGGCATCTACTTTCTTCGGGTCAATGCCCTCCTGCAGGAGAGAAGGGGAAGCGATGGGATCTCGGGGTGAGGTCCCGCAAGGCCCCGTGGGGCAGAAAGCTCTCAGCCACATGGGGCCTCGGCTGTGCCCAGCCCTGTCAGCTGGACACAGGAGCCAAGAGCAGGCTGGGGGCAACCATGAGCCCCAGGGCCACTCACCCACCTCCCCTCCTGCCCATGGCCAGGCTGACCCCAGCCCTGCCCAAGGAAGCAGCAGCTTTTCCATGACTATTAGTGGACACTCACCTGGAGAACTCGGACCACCTCTGCCAGCATCGGCCCCAGGCACCTGGTGGTGTAGAATCCAGGCCCATCCTAGGGAAGAGGAGTGCAGCAGGGAGTACCAGCTGCCTCTGGGCAGCACCAGCACTGTGTTTCACAGCCCAGGCTGCCATTCAGACACCCCAAACCCCATTTCTAATGCTATTCACTGCTACAATAGTTGGGTTTTCCCCTGTAATGCTCAGCAGAGTCTGAAGACTTCCATGAACTTATTCCCTGGCAGTTCCCATCACTGTTTGTATTGGAACTAGTGCCTGGAGGTTCCAAGCAGGCTGCTGCTTCGGCAAGCCCAACAGGCTGAGGGACAGGGTGCTCAGCACGAGGAAAACCAGCACAAACCAGTTGATTCACCTCTGATCCTCCCCACAGGGTCAGGAAGCAACAGAGGAGCTGCACACTGCCTGCCAGGGAGGCAGCTGAGGTGGGATGAGGCTCAGGGAAGCAGCACTGGATCCCCAACTGGGATGCCCAGAGCACTGTTTGACAAGCCAGTTCTCCCAGCACCACTGGAGAGACCTGCTCAGCACCACTGGCAACCTCAGGCCTGAGGGAAAAGACAGGGACATCTCCCTCCAGCCCAGGTGGCTCCGACCTCCATCCAGCCTGGCCTGGAACACTCTCAGGGATGGAGCAGGACAGCTGCGCTGGGCAACCTCTGCCAGTGCCTCAGCACCTCACAGGGAGGAATTCCTGCCCAATATCCCATCTACATCACTTGTATGTGTATTTCTGCCCCTTCACACCAAGATTTACCCCAGGCAGAGGGGGGTTGCTGCTCACTGACCCTCTGCCCTCACAGCCTGCCAGGCAGCTGAGGTGGTGACACCCTCTGCTCCGTCTGGGATGCCACTGCAGCCCGTGGGAAGCTGAGAGGGGCAGCACTGCCAACTCCTGCTGCTGCCAGGAGGGCTGCACTTGTGCCTCATGGCCCTCCAGGGCTGCTCTGAAGGGCACATGAGGTGTCCTCTGGGCACTTCTCCCCTTCTGACCTCCCTTTTCCCTTCTCAGCAGGAGCAGCTGATTGCAGTGTGCTCACAGCCACGTCTCGCCTCCTCTCACTGCATGAGCCCTTTAATTACTCCCCCAGCTCCTGTTCCCTGCAGTGCTCCCTCACCTTCACCACGATGACCACTTTGCCCTGTTTGAGGCCAACAGCAACGGCAGAAGCTGCTGTGTCCTGGGAGGTCTTGTCCGTGGTGATGATTTCCAGCAGTTGCATCCTGTCCACAGGGGAGAAGTAGTGCATCCCAATCACCTGGGCAGAAGGAAAGGCTCAGGGTTCTTAAGGCTCCCAGAAGAATCTGTTGGGCAAGCCAAGTGCAGAGGGCAGACCAGCAGGGCTGCAGGACCTCCACTACACTCTGCATGCCTCTCTGGTGGGAGTGCTCTCCCGCTGCCTCTCTCCTCAGACACAGTGCGTGCCCTGCAGCTCCTGCCTCGGCCTGCATCAAGGTGCAATGCTTACAGGACCAAGACTGGCCCAGCTCTCTCTGTGCTCCACAGCCTGGCAGAAAACCTGCCTGGGAATCACAGCTGAGCTCATCCCCAGGGAGACAAGAGGCACAGTGTGCCCTGCAGGTACCCTGAGCTGGCAGGGCAGCCCCCTGGCTGCTGCTCCTGCTGGGTTCCGAGCCCCTGCGTGCTGCCTGTCAGTGCTCTGATTCCTTTGGGGAGGTGAGTTCAAGGATGGGAAGGCATCTATCCAGAAACTAATTACACAGCCAAGTGCAGCCTTCCCCTGGGAGTGGCATTTACGTGGTGGTAACTCAGCTGTGTGCCTCACTCCCTAATGTGACCACGTCCTCAGCATGTCACCTTCATGCCTCCTGGCAGCTCCCCTTGGCACCAAGGCCTGTGTGAGCCAGGGGCACCCTGCAGAGCTGCAGGCTGCAAAGCTAATTAAGGAAAACACACTAATTAGTTAACTAATTTCCTATTAGTTTCCCCATTGCGCAGGATGTTTTTGGCAAAGATGAACAAAGGAGACTCAGTTTGCATTTCTGATGCAACTAAGGAAAGCAGGAAGAGGCTCAGGAGGGTGTCAGGAAGCTCCAACAGCCCCTGGGTACCACAGGGTGCCCTTGGCAGGGTCCTACACTCCTCCCTCGGGGTGCAGGGACCAGTGTTCCTGCTCAGCTGTGCTCACCTGGGCTAAGGGCTGAGGACGCAGATACTTTATGTGCTGTGTAGGCTTCAAGCAAAGGGATGAAGTCATCCTCTGCTCCAAACCTCTGCTCCATTCTCTTGGTGCCCTGCTCACATGGATCATTTGGAGTCAGGGAGAAACTCCCCTCACCCCTTCAGGAGCTGATCACAGCTTTGGTTTCAACACCTCTAAGTTTAGCTTCTAGCCACGGGTTCTTTTTGCTGCTGGGTTAGTGCCTTCTCCAGGAAGGAGGAGAAGAAATTTTCCCTCCACAGCAAGTCCCTCCTATGTCTAATCAGTTTATCAAAATGACTGAAGTCCTCTTGGCTGGAATTCTTTCAACTTGAGTCACAGAATCCCAGAAACACTCAGGTTGGCAAAGGCCTCCAAGCCCATCAAGTCCAACCTGTGCCCCATCACCACCTTGTCAGCTAGCCCAGAGCACTGAGTGCCACGTCCAGTCCTTCCTTGGACACCTCCAAGGATGGTGACTCTACTCCAAAGCCTGACAGCCCTTTCCATGGAGAAGCTCCTCCTGATGTCTTCCCCTGGCACAGCTTGAGGCTGTTTCCTTATATCCTCTCCCTTGCTCCCTGGAGAAGAAGCTGACCCTCAACTTCCTACAGCTTTCCACATCTTCTCTGTCCCCACGTGCACCAACACTTCCTGACCTGTCTCACCAACATCACACTTGGATTGTCACTACCTTCACCCCCTTCCCACAAGCTCTCTGCTCAAAGCTTGCACCGGGGGCAGAAGATGAGCTGTGCAATGTCCTGAGGAGGAAGCAGAAGGTCCCTAAACCAAAGCCACCCTTCCATGAACAGGCAGCTCTGTGCAAGGCACATGGCCCTGGGGACTCACCTTCTCAGGCCTCTTGCTGGCAGCAGCAATCTTGCTGATGGGCAGGGCAGAGGTGTTACTGGCAAAGATGCAGTGAGCAGGGATCACCTGGGAGGGGATGGAAGGGACATACAGTGAGCAGGGATCACCTGGGAGGGGATACAGTGAGCAGGGATCACCTGAGAAGGGGTGGCAGGGATGGTGTCAGTGCACAGGCTCTGGAGGCAGAGCCCTGAGAGCAGCACCAGCACCTGTAACCCTGGCAAACAAGGCAAACTGGGTTTTCTCTTTAGAAACCAACTGTGAAGCAGCAGCTCCAGTCAGCCAGCTCTGATTCCCCGACCCTCCCCAGGTGTCCCAGGGCTCCCACGTTTGTCAGAGCACAGGAGACACTGCAGGGAGCAGCCCAGAGCAGCTCCTCTGCCACACAGCTATTCCCCTCAGTGTGCCCCTCAACAGGACAGAGCAGTGGCAGCAGGTAAAGCTCTGTGAGGTGTGGAGACACCAAAGGCCATTCCTGTCATATCCCTGAGCTCAGACAGGTGGAAGCTGCTTTGGAGCAGCTCTCAGGAGTCAGGGAATGGCAGAACTGCCCCGTTCAGCTAAAACTCCTCAGTGGACAGAAAAGTGATGCTCACCCATGTCCTGACAGACGTCACTGCACCAAGAAGCAAACTGCAGCACAGAACTGGGACAAGCCTGCAGCATAGCACAGGACCTCTGCAGTGTCCAGCACACCCTGCTCAGGACCAATACTCACTGCCTCCACCTCCTTCAGCACTTTGTGTTTGATGTTGATGTCCTCAAACACAGCCTCGATGACCATGTCAGCCTTCTCAAAGCCCTTGTAGTCCAGCTGGCCCATCAGGTTGCTCAGAATGGAGTCCCTCTCAAACGATGTCAGGCTCTTCTTCTTGACCTTGCCGCTCAGCCTAGGAGGGACAGCTCTGTCACAGGAGCACCAGGTGCACCACAGGCATCCCTCCTGCCCTCCCTCCAGGAGCTGGGACCCAGAACTCCATCTCCAGGCCAGCAGGACTGTCACTCTGCACCCTGGCCCCTCCTTCCACGTGGAAGCAGGAGAGCTCTGCTCACACAGCTCTGCTGAGTCAGT